ACCACCTAGAAACCGATATTCATTTCAAGCCCACCGACTCCCACAGCTACCTAGAATACTCCTCCTCCCACCCACCTTCCTGCAAAAATGCTATCCCCTATTCCCAATTCCTTCGCCTCCGCCGCATCTGCTCCCAGGATGAGGCATTCCACTCCCGTACATCTCAGTTGTCCTCGTTTTTCAAGGACCGTAACTTCCCCCCTCGGTGGTCGAGAACGCCCTCAACCGTGTCTCCCACATCTCCTGCACCTCATCCCTCACACCCCGTCCACGCAATAAGAACCAAAAAAGAATCCCCCTCGTCCTCACGTACCACCCCACCAACCTCCGGATCCAACGCATCATCCTCCGACACTTCCGCCATCTGCAATCCGACCCCACCACCAAAGACATCTTTCCCTCCCCACCCTTATCTGCTTTCCGGAGGGACAACTCTCTCCGTGACTCCCTTGTCCGCTCCACACTCCCCTCCAGCCCCACCACACCCGGCACTTTTCCCTGCAACCGCAGGAAGTGCTACACCTGCCCCCATACCTCCTCCCTCACCCCCATCCCAGGCCCCAAGAAGACTTTCCACATCAAGCAGATGTTCACCTGCACATCTGCCAATGTGGTATACTGCATCCGCTGTACCCGGTGTGGCTTCCTCTACATCGGGGAAACCAAGCGGAGGCTCGGGGACCGCTTTGCAGAACACCTACGCTCGGTTCACAATAAACAACTGCACCTCCCAGTCGCGAACCATTTCAACTCCCCCTCCCATTCCTCAGACCTCCTGCAGTGCCACAACGATGCCACCCGAAGGTTGCAGGAACAGCAACTCATATTCCGCTTGGGAACCCTGCAGCCCAATGGTATCAATGTGGATTTCACAAGTTTCAAAATCTCCCCTCCCCCTACCGCATCCCAAAACCAGTCCAGCTCGTCCCTGCCTCCCTGGACTGACCTATCCCCTTCCTAACTCCCTACCTACACTCACCTTTACTGGCTCCATCCCCGCCTCTTCGACCTGTTTGTTTCCTCTCCACCTATCCTCTCCTCTATCCCTCTTCTATCTGCCTCCCACTCTCTCCCTATTTATTTCAGAACCCCCTTCCCCTCCCCCTTTTCTGATGAAGGGTCTAGGCCCGAAACGTCAGCCTCTCTGCTCCTATGATGCTGCTTGGCCTGCTGTGTTCATCCAGCCCTGCACCTTGTTGTCTCGGATTCTCCAGCATCTGCAGTTCCTACTATCTCTGATTCAACTTTCCACATTGTCAGGTAGATGTCAGTGTACTCAATGAGCTTGGCTAGGGGAGTGGCAAGTTCTGGAGCACAAGTCTTCAGTACTGTTACTGGAATGTTGTCAGGGCCCATAGACTTTGTAATATCCAGTGCCTCTAATTGTTTCTTGATATCATGTGAATTGAACTGAATTGACTGAAGACTGGTATCTGTGATGCTGGGGACAACTACAGGAGGTTGATGTGGATCATCCACTTGGCACTTCTGGCTGCTGATTGCTTTGAATACTTCAGCCTTATCTTTTGCACTGATGTGTTGCTCTGCCGTCATTGAGAATGGGGATATTTGTGGAGCCTCCTCCTCTAATGACTTGTTTAATTGTCCACCACCATTCATGACTGGGTGTGGCAGGACTGCAGAGCTTAGACTGATCCATTGGTTGCAGGATCACTTAACTCTGTCTATCACTTGCTACTTATGATGTTTGGCATGTAAGTATTCTTGTTTGGTAGCTGCACTAGATTCACACCTCATTTTTACATATGCCTGGTGCTGCTCCTGGCATGCCCTCCTAGACTGTCCACTGAACCAGGGTTGATCCCCTAGCTTGATGGTAATGGTTGAGTGGAGGATACGCCAGGCCACGATGTTGCAGACTGTAGTGGGGTATAATTCTGCAGATATTGGTGGCCCATAGCATCTCATGGATGCCCATTCTCTAGTTGCTAGATCTGTTCAAAGTCTATCCGTTTAGCACAGATAGTGCCACACAACATGATGGTCTTCTCCACTCGGGACTGTGCAGTGATCACTCTTACAAATATTGTCATGGACAGATACATCCACAGCCTGCAGATTGTTGAGGATGACATCAAATATATTTCTCCCTCTTACTGGTTGCCTCACCACCTGCCACAGACCCAGTCTTGCAGCTATGTCCTTTAGGACCCGACCAGCTCAACCAGGAGTGCTGCTGCTGGGCCACTCTAAGTGGTGGACACTGAAGTCCGCCACCCAGAATACATCTTGTGCCCTTGCTGCCCTAAATACTTCCTCCAAATGTTGTTCAATATAGAGTACTGATTCTTCAGTAGAGGGAGGACGTACATGGTAATCAGCAAGAGTTTTCCTTGCCCATGTTTAGCCTAAAGCTATGAGGCTTACTGGGGTCAGGAGTCAATGTTGCGGATTCCCAGGGTAACTCCCTCCCAACTGTATGCCACTGTGCTGCCATTTCTGCTGGTTCTGTCCTACCAGTGAGACAAGCTATATCCAGGGATGGTGATGGTGGGATATAGTCATACTCATGGAATCATACCTTACAATGCCAACTATTGCTTGACTAGCCTGTGAGATACCTCTCCCAATTTTGGCACTAGCCCCAGATGTTAGCCTTTGGAGGGTCAACAGGGCTGTTTCTGCCATTGTCTTTTCTGGCACCTTGGTTGATGCCACGTGGGGTCCGTGCAATTTAATTTCTTTGAGACTTTGTAGCATTTGATACAACTGAGTGGTGTGCTAGGCCATTTCAGACAGCAATTGAGAGTCAATCAAATTACTGAGAGTCTGGAATCACATGTAAGCCAGACCAGGTAAAAATGGTAGATTTCCTTCTGTGAAGGATATCAGTAAACCAGATGGGTTTTTCTAGCCATCAGAAAAGGTTTCATGGCCATCAGTAGATTCTTAGTTCTCAATTTTTTTTTTTTATTGAATTCAAATTCCACCATTTGATGTGGTGAGATTTGAAACCAAGTCCTGAGAACATTAGCTGAGTTTTTAAATTAATAGTCTAGTGATACTATCACTAGGCCATTGCCTTCCCCTAATTTTTTGCGCCAGACAGAAATAAACGATTGTTACAATTCATTACACATTCTTTAAACAGTTATCATTGCCTATTCACTATCAATCCCTTTAGTAAGGTTCCCCAATCCATTCTTGCCAATTTATGGCTTATCCTCTTAGTTCTCTTCATTTAAATGCAAGATCCTAACTTGACTCTCCATCTTTAATGATGAATTCTCTCATGTTATGGTCATTCTTCCCCAAGGAATCCCCTAAAACAAGACTTAATTAATAATTTCTCATTCCTCAGCACCCAATCTTGATTAGCCCGTTCTCTGATTGGTTCTGCAATGTTTTGATTAAGAAAAATATCACTCTAGGAAATCCACTTCCACAATACCATTGCTCGTTTGGTTTTTCCAATCTATGCGTAAAGTCCCCCAGGATTACAGTTGTATTCTTCCTGCATTTATCCACGATTTCTTCTTTAATACCTTCTCTTAGGCAAGCCCCAATGTTTTCTTCCCCAGGATGTTTCCTATCTCCACCTAAACAGATTCCACATCGTGATTTTCTGAGCCAATATTCTTCCTCACTACTGCATTGATTTCCACCTTTATGAGCAACAGTACCCCACCTCCTTTCCCTTTTTGTTTGTCTTGCCAAAATAATGACTACCCCTGGATGTCAGTTCCCATGCTGGTTACACTGCAGTTGTGTCACTATAATCGCAACTAAATTATAATCATCTATATCTATTTGTACTTCTAATTCATCCACCTTCTGTGAATGCTCCACACCTTAACACACAGTCTTTAGAATTATCTTTTTAACCTGGTTAGTCATCTTAGCTTCAGTTTCCATTATGGCCTCATATGTTTTTAAAAATCTGCCCTCGACTTCTGCTTTTCATCTCTTGTTTCTATCTTTGTTTTTCTGTCCTCAGGTTCCTGCTCAGGTTCCCATCCCCTTACCATTCTAGTTTCACCACCACCCCCAACCCCCCCACACTCTCTCTCTATCTCTCTTCACCCCACCCACCCTCCCCCCACTTTGCTAGTTTAAACTCTTCCCCCATTCTGCTTTAAACCTCCCCTGCCCCATCCCAAAGTGCATTGGTCCTGGTCTTGCCCAGGTACAATCCTTTCTGCTTGTATCAGTCCCAATGTCCCAGGAATCTGAATCCCACCCTCCTACATCATATCATTTTTTAACCAAAGCTTGCAGAACGATAGTTCAAACTTTTTTTGTTGGAAATGCCTTTCCCAGATTCACAGATTTATTTTGAAATTTTAAAAAACTGAATTTTTTTTCTCTAAGCCAATGGAAAGCAAAAGTTGGGTCTTATGTACTTTTTGACACTGCTCCCAAAGATCAATTTCAACTTCATGTTGTCTGCCATTTCAAATTAACCTACACTAATCATCATTGATCATAAGGATGAAGTTGTTTAAATACAAGTGGAACTTATCTTTTACGACAGAAGTCACACTAGCAGGAAACACATTTATTGTCACGAAGTAGGAATAACTTCAATCAATCACTCTTGTTTGGAATCTTGAGAACTTAATCTTGAGAAGTGTTTATTTTAAGGCAAATACGTTGTATAATGCTGAGCATTTTTACAATTTTACTTTGCAGCATTGCAAATAATACACTCATTAGTACAAGTCAAACTCATAAGTGGTTAAATCTGAAATAATAGTCACCAATCTGCTCAATGTTAAAATGGTGGAATTTTGGTTAGTATGGCAACTACACTCACTTTTCTAGAGAATAATTTGACTCAGCCCTCCTAACGTAGATGGGAGAGTGACTGCTTTCAGCGTTGGGATTTCAGAGAAACTTAATTTGCTTCAGTGTTACTTGCACATGACATGCAACTTCAAAAAAAAAATCCAAGTCCTAGAAGTAAATTCAAAAACACCCTTATAATCAAGGATATATCACAGAAAAGACACTACGTTTGATCTTTGATGGGTACTTACTGAACTTGTATTGTCTGACTGGGCGATGATCCCTTTAGTTGGGGCACTACTGTAAGAGTGGAATGATACTTCCTTGTTGTGATGTTTAACTGGGTCAGAGGCATAATCTGGAGGAGGTAGGACAACATTTGATCTGTCTGCAAGATTCAGGATGCTCATACTCCGTGCTGGCGCTGGGCTAAAGTGAAGATAATAAAACAAAAATTACAAAATGCTGATTTCCATTATTAAAGGTATATTGAAGAAAAAATGAATAGAATATGTTACAATAAGTAAGTTCTAATTTACTATCGACCTTATAGTCAATTATGATATAATGCATATATACACAAAACAAATTCCTATTAATTAACTGCAGATCATGTTTTCATCATTTTGCCAGTAGTTCTTTTGAATTAGACTTAATGTCTTTAAATTTAACAGAGTACATAAGCACAACTTGTAACGGCCATGTAACTTTTTCTTAAGCGAATGACGCAATTAATATTAATTATCTTTAGTACGCATGCAAGGCTCTAGAGTAATTTCAATTTTAAAAAATTAAGCCTGCTGTTACTGTAACTTAAACTGCTTTTTGCTGTGTTTCCCTTTAATTACTGGGGCTTCACCCTGTTACAATTATCATAATGCACTGTAAAATGGGTCATATGCTCAGATATATGTAAAATGGGTCAGTCATTTATGGATAAAAGTTTTAAAAGTAAGTCTATGTGTACTTAAGTCTAGAAACTTAGAGAAATTATTTAAATTTCCAAGAAAGACTCTAAGTCAGAGTAAATGAACCAGAGGAGGCCGTTACACTGCTTTTGCATGTGACTTTCAATTAGAGCTTTGTTGACCTGATGTGCTGTCAAATTAAAGGTTGTTTTTAAGTTCCTGAAGGAAGTCAGATAAATTATCACTGAACAAAAGAAAAAAAATGAAACAAATGATTTACACAGCAGCATAACTAAATGGATTTCTCAGAATCATACAGCACAGAAAGGCAGCCATCCAGTGCAATGCATCTATGTTGGCGATCTGTAACAGCTACCCAAATAGTTCTTCTCAGCAGACCTATATTTTCTTTAAGTACACACACCAAGTCGCTTTTCAAAGTTCTTACTGAATCTATTTCCACCACTCAACACCAACCTTCAGGGAACTGCATGGCACAAGCAGTTGTATGCTGGCCTTTTACCTCTGGGATTGATTGGATGAAAGTCTCTTTTGTCTGCAAGGGATGATTTAGGACAGAGCTAGTAGGAACTGCAGATGCTGGAGAATCCGAGACAACAAGGTGCAGGGCTGGATGAACACAGCAGGCCAAGCAGCATCATAGGAGCAGAGAGGCTGACGTTTCGGGCCTAGACCCTTCATCAGAAAAGGGGGAGGGGAAGGGGGTTTTGAAATAAATAGGGAGAGAGTGGGAGGCGGATAGAAGAGGGATAGAGGAGAGGATAGGTGGAGAGGAAACAAACAGGTCGAAGAGGCGGGGATGGAGCCAGTAAAGGTGAGTGTGGGCAGGGAGTTAGGAAGGGGATAGGTCAGTCCAGGAAGGACGGACAGGTCAAGGGGGCGGGATGAGGTTGGTCGGTAGGAGATGGAGGTGCGGCTTGAGGTGGGAGGAGGGGATAGGTGGGAGGAAGAACAGGTTAGGCAGGCAGGGACGAGCTGGACTGGTTTTGGGATGCGGTAGGGGGAGGGGAGATTTTGAAACTTGTGAAATCCACATTGATACCATTGGGCTGCAGGGTTCCCAAGCGGAATATGAGTTGCTGTTCCTGCAACCTTTTAGGACAGGGTGTCTTTTGTAACAGATGAAAAAAACGTTTAAACTCATGCAATGTTACATGATTGCATCTCATCCTTAATCTCAGAGCAATGTCAGGATTTCACCCTGTATTTGGAAATGCTATACATAAGCCGGATTGCCTGTGCTGACAGTGACTATTAATACCTTCTCTCACCTCGAGCAGAGAGACAAACAATATCCAAAAGATACAGAAACTGTCCCAAACTGTTGTGCACCATAAATTACAAAAGTCCAGCATGGTTTACAGAAAGAGATACAACGCTTGGGCAATATGTTCCTCAACTGCAGCAACAGACCTAAATAGCATAACACTAATCTACTGTTAACGGATCAGATTCCATAGTAGATAGAAAGGACACGTTTTTACTGTCACACCAACCCCAAGCAAGGTTCCCCAATTCGATATGATTCCAGATTAGATAGCCTAAACCTTTAAATTCCTGGATGAGAAGGGATTTACTGGTGCCTCTACTTTAGAGGATTAGCCCCTTGGTAGGTTGCAACAAGCCAATTCATAAAGGATCTTGTGGATATCATTTTGCCAAACTCAAATTAACTGGTATTAAGAGTTATAGAATCATACAGCACTGAAAAGGCCCTTCCACCGATAGGTCAGCACAGAATCTACCTACAGTAATCTACAAACAATTGCCAGCACTAGCGTCACAACATTCAAGGTCATGGGTCAAGTACTCTTCCACATTTTTTTTATATATAGGTTGAGAGATATCTCACCTCTACTACCCTCCCAGGCAGTGCATTTCAGATTCTCATCACCTTCTGGGTGAAAACATTTTTTCCTTAAAGCTCTTCTAAACTCACCCTTCACCTCAAAATTATGCCTCACCCCCTTGTTATGGAGCCTTCCACTATGGACAACAGCTGCTTCCTATCTGCCCTGACCACACCCCACATAATCTTTTACACCTCAATCAGGGTCCCCCCCCCAACACCCAGCCTTCTCTGCTCAAAAGAAAACAACCCCAGCTATCCAGCCTGTCTTCATAGTTAAAATGCTCTAATCCAGGCAACATTTTGGTGAATCTACTCTGTACCCACTCCAGTGCAGTCACATTGTTCCTATAGTGTGGCAGGAGCTAATTTAAACCAGCTTTCTTGAATTAACAAAAGAGTGAGTTTACTATTTATTAAATACAAGAAACAAGAAAACAAAGAAAATAAAAGGGCAAGTCCAAAAAGCGAACAGGAGAAAGCAAATGATATACAGATTAGTCTTTGAATTGTTTCAAAGAGCTGATAGTTGAATGTCAGGTCAAAGAGGCGGGGATGGAGCCAGTAACGGTGAGTGTAGGTTGGGAGGTAGAGAGGAGATAGGTCAGTCCAGGGAGGACGGACAGGTCAAGGAGGCGGGATAAGATTAGTAGGTAGGAAATCGGGGTGGGGCTTGAGGTGGGAGGAGGGAATAGGTGGGAGGAAGAACAGGTTAGGGAGGCGGGGACAAGCTGGGCTGGTTTTGGGATGCGGTAGGGGGAGGGGAGATTTTGAAGCTCGTGAAATCCACATTGATACCATTGGGCTGCAGGGTTCCCAAGCGGAATATGAGTTGCTGTTCCTGCAACCTTCGGGTGGCATCGTTGTGGCACTGCAGGAGGCCCAGGATGGACATGTCGTCTGAGGAATGGGAGGGGGAGTTGAAATGGTTCGCGACTGGGAGGTGCAGTTGTTTACTGCGAACCGAGCATAGGTGTTCTGCAAAGCGCTCCCCAAGCCTCCGCTTGGTTTCCCCGATGTAGAGGAAGCCACACCGGGTACAGCGGATGCAGTATACCACATTAGCAGATGTGCAGGTGAACATCTGCTTGATGTGGAAAGTCTTCTTGGGGCCTGGGATGGGGGTGAGGGAGGAGGTGTGGGGGCAGGTGTAGTACTTCCTGCGGTTGCAGGGAAAAGTGCCGGGTGTGGTGGGGCTGGAGGGGAGTGTGGAGCGGACAAGGGAGTCATGGAGAGAGTGGTCCCTCCGGAAAGCAGATAAGGGTGCGGAGGGAAAAATGTCTTTGGTGGTGGGGTCGGATTGTAGATGGCGGAAGTGTCGGAGGATGATTGGGTGGTACGTGAGGACAAGGGGGATTCTTTTTTGGTTGTTATTGCTGGGACGGGGTGCGAGGGATGAGTTGTGGGAAATGCGGGAGACACGGTTGAGGGCGTTCTCGACCACTGAGGGGGGGGGGGGGGGGGAG